CTCATCATGTGCCAGGCGGCACGCTGGGGCGCATCAGAGTGCGCCTGTGCTGCCTGGCAGGCCGTTTGAAGTGCTTCTGGGGCCGGCCACACACCACCTCGTACATGGCGCGTGGGTTGACCTCGTCCTCCTTTTCCCCCTTTTCCCCCTCCTCCTCCTCCTCCTCCTCCTCCTCCTTTTCCTCCTCCCTCCCTCCCTTCCTCCCTCCCTTCCTCACTCCCTCCCTCCCTCCCTACATGGTGTTGCTCTCCAGCGCCCCTTTCGGCCTCAGACGACGTCAAGAGAGCCCAGGACCCAGCCAAACCAGCTACAAGACACCCCAATAACGTCCAAAGTCAGCCCACCGAGGGCCCAAAGAACAATAGCTCCTCAAGATGCTCCAACACGCCCAAAGAGGCCTTCAGCCAGGCACTCGGAGGCAGAAAACAATTACCCTGTGACGTACCCAACCCATTTGTATCAATGGAGACGAGGAGTTGGCCGAAACTTGTATGGACAATCAACCTGATGTGTAAGCTACATGGGAGGCGTCACTGCGCTGGGCCCCGCAAGCAGGCCTCGAAAGTGGCGACAGTTTCACAGATGGCAGGTCACCAGGGATGGCGAGGACGAATTTGAATCTGCGTGTGGCGTCACTGCGCTGGGCCCCCCAGCAGGCCGCGAAAGTGGCGACAGGTTCGCAGATCGCAACCCCCCGGGATGGCGAGGTCCCATTTGAGTCCGCCGTGGGTACACACTGCGCTGGGCCCCCCAGCAGGCCTCGAAAGTGGCGACAGGTTCGCAGATCGCAGCCCCCCAGGGATGGCGAGGTCCCATTTGAGTCCGCCGTGGGTACCCACTGTGCTGGCCCCCCCCGCAGGCCTCGAAAGTGGCGACAGTTTCACAAATCGCAGCCCCCCGGGGATGGCGAGGTACAACTGGAGTCCGCCGTGGGTATCCACTGGGCTGGGCCCCCCAGCAGGCCGCGAAAGTGGCGAGAGTTTCACAGATCGCAGCCCCCCAGGGATGGCGAGGTCCCATTTGAGTCCGCCGTGGGTACCCAATGTGCTGGGCCCCCCCAGCAGGCCTCGACAGTGGCGACAGTTTCACAGATCGCAGCCCCCCAAGGATGGCGAGGTACAATTTGAGTCCGCCGTGGGTACCCACTGCGCTGGGCCCCCCAGCAGCCCTCGAAAGTGGCGACAGTTTCACGGATCGCAGCCCCCCAGGGATGGCGAGGTCCCATTTGAGTCCGCCGTGTGTACCCACTGTGCTGGGCCCCCCAGCAGGCCCCGAAAGTGGCGACAGTTTCACAGATCGCAGCCCCCCAGGGATGGCGAGGTACAATTTGAGTCCGCCGTGTGTACCCACTGTGCTGGGCCCCCCAGCAGGCCTCGGAAGTGGCGACAGTTTCGCAGATCGCAGCCCCCCAGGGATGGCGAGGTACAATTTGAGTCCGCCGTGTGTACCCACTGTGCTGGGCCCCCCCAGCAGGCCTCCAAAGTGGCGACCGTTTCGCAGATCGCAGCCACCCAAGGATGACGAGGTACAATTTGACTCCGCCGTGTGTACCCACTGCGCTGGGCCCCCCAGCAGCCCTCGAAAGTGGCGACAGTTTCGCATATCGCAGCCCCCCAGGGATGGCGAGGTACAGTTTGAGTCCGCCGTGTGTACCCACTGTGCTGGGCCCCCCAGCAGGCCTCGAAAGTGGCGAGAGTTTCACAGATCGCAGCCCCTCAGGGATGGCGAGGTACAATTTGACCCCGACGTGTGTACCCACTGTGCTGGGCCCCCCAGCAGGCCTCGAAAGTGGCGACAGGTTCGCAGATCGCAGCCCCCCAAAGATGGCGAGGTACAATTTGAATCCGCCGTGTGTGCCCACTGTGCTGGGCTCCCCAGCAAGCCTCGAAAGTGGCGATAGTTTCGCAGATCGCAGCCCCCCAAGGACGGCGAGGTCCCATTTGACTCCGCCGTGTGTACCCACTGTGTTGGGCCCCCCAGCAGGCCTCGAAAGTGGCGACATTTTCACAGATCGCAGCCCCCCAGGGATGGCGAGGTCACATTTGAGTCCGCCGTGTGTACCCACTGTGCTGGGCCCCCCAGCAGGCCTCGGAAGTGGCGACAGTTTCGCATATCGCAGCCCCCCAGGGGTGGCGAGGTATAAGTTGAGTCCGCCGTGTGTACCCACTGTGCTGGGCCCCCCCCAGCAGGCCTCGAAAGTGGCGACAGTTTCGCAGATCGCAGCCCCCCAGGGATGGCGAGGTCCCATTTGACTCCGCCGTGTGTACCCACTGCGCTGGGCCCCCCAGCAGGCCTCGAAAGTGGCGACATTTTCACAGATCGCAGCCCCCCAGGGATGGCGAGGTACAATTTGAGTCCGCCGTGTGTACCCACTGTGCTGGGCCCCCCAGCAAGTTTCACAAATCGCAGCCCCCCATGGATGGCGAGGTACAATTTGAATCCGCCGTGTGTACCCACTGTGCTGGGCCCCCCAGCAGGCCTCGAAAGTGGCGACAGTGTCGCAGATCGCAGCCCCCCAGGGATGGCGAGGTACAATTCGAGTCCGCCGTGTGTACCCACTGTGCTGGGCCCCCCAGCAGGCCTCGAAAGTGGCGAGAGTTTCACAGATCGCAGCCCCTCAGGGATGGCGAGGTACAACTTGAGTCCGCCGTGTGTACCCACCGTACCCACCGTGCTGGGCCCCCCAGCAGCCCTCGAAAGTGGCGACAGTTTCGCAGATCGCAACCCCCCAGGGATGGCGAGGTCACATTTGAGTCCGCCGTGTGTACCCACTGTGCTGGGCCCCCCAGCAGGCCTCGAAAGTGGCGACAGTTTCACAGATCGCAGCCCCCCAGGGATGGCGAGGTACAATTTGAGTCCGCCGTGTGTACCCTCTGCGCTGGGCCCCCCAGCAGGCCTCGAAAGTGGCGACAGTTTCACAGATCGCAGCCCCCCAGCTGGCACGCAGCGACGAGCGAAGGCAGGGGGGAAGGGAGGGAGGGGGGGGGGGGCGGGAAGAAAGGAAGGCGCGAGCAGTGCTCTATTCGAAACGAGAACCCAACGCAGGAGGGTCGGGACAAATGTGCCCTGCTTCTGGGGATGTTCGGCTTACGATCGCCTCGGAAGGCTCCAGAAAGCATCCAGCAGCACCCAAGGCGGCCCAAGACGGCCCCAAGAGCGCCCCAAGAACGCTCTTCTCTGCTTCCAGACAGCTCCGAGGACCCTCCGAAGACGCCCCCCGCGCGGGCGTCGCCGCGCCGCTCACGCGGGGCAGACCGACACGTCCCCCCCGGGAGGAGGGGCGCTCCCGTGCCTGGCCCTCTTGCTAGCACCCGGCGGCGCTCCCGTCGCCCCGCGCGGCGGGGCCCGCCTCAAAGAGTCCTGGCCAGGACGCGCCCCGAGAAGATAACAGGGGATATGTCGACCCCTATCCCAGGCTTCGTGGGGTTTCCGAATGGACCAGAAATTTGGGGCCTAACCCTGGGATATACGATGGGGGGGTGTCCATTCTCGATAGGGGTGCGTCCGAATAGCCCCCTTGGGGTGTATCCCAGGGTTTTCCCATTCTTCTGAGCGGCCAGACTTTTCGGGCGAAACTCGGGGATTGGGGGAGAAACATCGCCCGCGAGAAGAGGTCCAGGGACACGTGCTGTCGGGCGAGATCTGTAGGCGAGGGCGAGTGTCCCACCCACTGCCAGCCATCCCAGACCGTGACTTTGTTCCATACGAGGTCCTCAGGCATTCGCGCCCCCTTCCCCCCCCCGGCCAGTGTCTGATCCCGAATGTTGTGGTATGGTCCGGGGGCCTCAAGCGGGCCTCCAGAAACCGAGATATCTGTCATATCAAAGCTGTATGGGACTCTTCGAGACGTTGGAGGTTTGGGGGGTCCAAGCGGCGCCAGCAAAAATGTAACTGAAAACCAAGTGGGGGGGGGCTGGTAGGGAAAACTCGCGCCCCCAGGCATCCAACGACTTGAAAGAGTAATCAAGACGGACGTGTTTCGCAATTTCGGCTTCCTGTAGAGCGGGGGGGGTCCATCCTCGGTAGGGGTGAATCCGAGTAGCCGCCAGGCAGTGGTCCAAAAGTTCCTCTTCTACCCTGAGCGGCCAATGTTTTGGGGTGGCGGGGGCTCAGCGGGCTGGGTGAGAGATGTCGCCTGCGAGCATACGCACCCGACTCCAAAACGCTGGGTCCGCCGGCGTTTACCTCCCAGCATGTGTTGTTCAGTTCAGCGAATGTTTACGGGAGACGAAGGAGGGGCGTGAAGGAGGGGACGATCGTGACATGGCAACACATGTGCGATTGCTCTCTGATGCGTGCACGATGGCCCTCCAGTGCACAAACGATGACCCCCCTCTGATGCATACACGACGGAAGGAATTACCATCTGCCAGTCTACCTTCTGCTGGCATCTGGCGAGGACGCACTGTCTGGGGGCGGCGGCCCGAAGCAAGCCAAGAAGGTCTCCACACGAGCCCCGATCCTCGACCCTCGATCCTCGGCCCCCGATCCTCGGTCCTCTGCCCTCGGCCCTCGGCCCTCGACGAAGACGACGACGACGACGACGACGACGACGACGACGACGACGACGACGACGACGACGACAGGCGGCGGCGAGCCCCGAGGGCATCTGGAGGTCGACGAATGTCCCCAGAGGCCCCCTGGACCCCTGGAGCCCCTGGGAGGCCCCCGAGAAACCCTCCCTGGGGGCCCGCGGCCCGAAGGGGGCCGAAGTCGTCCAGAAATGCCGACCCCCGACCCTCGATCCCTTGCCCTCGCCGCCCGCCCCGCCACCGCCGCCGCGGCGGGGCTGGCGAAAGAGGCGACGGCTCGGCCACGCGCAGAAAGGGGGAACGGGGGAGGGGGGAAGGCGTCTGAGAAGCACTCCTGCTCCTCAGCCTTCTCTGTAGCTGTAAGGCCAGCACCTTCTGAGAAGCACCCCTCCTTCTGAGAAGCCTTCCCCCCTCCCCCTACCCCCCTCTGCGCGCCGCCAAACGGCGGCGGCGGAGGCGGCGTAGGACACGAATTGCACTGGCCCCCCTTGCCGCCGTTCCACGTTCGCGCGAGGCACAGCAGCACGGACACCTGCCCACCCCGGCAGCCCCAGTCGCTGGAGGGCCCTCCTTCCTCCTCCATCTTCGCTCCTCCTCCTCCTCCTCGTCCTCCTCCTCCTGCTCCTCCTCCTCCTCCTCCTCCTCCTCGTCCGCCTCCTCTTCGACCTCCTCCTCCTCCTCCTCCTCCTCCTCCTCCTCCTCATCCTCCTCCTCCTCCTCCTCCTCATGCGACTTGAGCGCCTTGCCCATTGATTCGGCCAACTCACAAGTATGATTTGGCCCGATTGGCCTCCATTCGCAATCGCACTCGCCTCGAGGGGATCGGCTGGCGCCAAGCGCGCACTGCCACGCGTGGGCAGCAGGCAGCAAAAGCAAGAGGAGGGACGCAGCAGGCAGAGAGGAGAATGAAGGACGCGGAACGCAACAAAAGAGGAGGGACAGGAGAGCGAGCGAGCGAGCGAGAAGGCAGCAGCGAGATAAAAGGCGGCCCATGAGACGAGGCTGGATCGGGGACGAACAGAACCCCCTTTAGCAAAACGTGGTTTAGTGAAAACGACCTCGGGCCCAAACCTGGCGGGCGCAAGCCTGGAAAATGACGGCCGCGGCGCCCTCTCGAGAACCGAAAACGGACAATTCACTAATCAACGTGTCAGGGTGGGGGTTCAGTTCTGTCCGTTCGCTGCCCCGTGACTGGGGGAAGGAATCGGGAAGGAACTGTTTTGCCTCCAAGTCCAAGGCGGTGTCTCCTGTGCTGGCAACATATGCCTCGTGTGGGGTGCCTCATGGAGCTGCAGGCCAGCCTGGCCAGGTCCGTGGCGACCCAGGAATGGCCGCCAGGAGCACTGGCCAGGCGCACCCCCCCCGAAGGGAAGCGGATTGCAGCAGGCACAGAAAAAATATAGCCTGCGGGGGGGGGGGGGGGGGGGAGCGCTAGACCCCGACCCTTGGAACAGGGCGCCTGCGCGCGAGTCGAATCCAGCAAAACGCACGAGGGGCCCGAAAGGAAGACGAACCGAATCCCGCGAACCCGCAGAAGCCCCTTTCCCGAGTGCACAGCCCCCTAAGAAAGGACGCCTTCTGTCTGTTCGCTGCCCCGTGACTAGGGGGAAGGAATCGGGAAGAGACTGTTTTGCCTCCGAGTCCAAGGCGGTGTCTCCTGCGCTGGCAACATATGCCTCGTGTGGGGTGCCTCGTGGAACTGCAGGCCGGCCTGGCCAGGTCCGTGGCGACCCAGGAATGGCCTCCAGGAGCACTGGCCAGGCGCAACCCCGAGGAGGCGAGTTTTTACAAACTCCCAGTGAGGCGCCTCCACAGAGGCATAAGTGAAACGCGCGTCTGATGATGAGTGATGGCTGGGACCGCCACGCCACTCGAAGCTGTAGACACGGCGCGTAACAGCTGATCGCACCGTTCTGAATCTGAGAAACGAGCGCAAAATGCTCGCATGGTTTCAGGGGCCGACCAGCCGCCCTGAGCCTGCACCAACTCTTCCGGCAAGCAGCACACTGTCTTGTACCAGTGAGCACCGCCTTTTTCACAGTGAGTGTGTTCCCACTGCGGCGGTCTGAAAGAACTGCGAAAGATTTCGGCGGAAGGAGTCGCAATTCATGGGGCGGGGCTCCGCCAAATGAGTCGTGCAAAACACGGGCGCATCCGGGTCGGAACCCCAGCGCGAGTCCCGCTGCACCAACCATTCCCGCAGGACGTGGCAAGGGCAAAGGCTGGGGGTGTCGACCATCTTTGGGATGTGGCACACCATGCCTTGTCCGAAAGGGTCGTTCTTTTGCCCGGCGACAGAAATAGACGCGAAATTGTCGCGCAAAGATATGTCTCAACGCCAGAGCGCGAGCGTCTCGGAACACCTCTGGACGCCGAAGAAAGACACGGCTGCTATAGCGACGTCCCGGACAACGGCCAGGCTGCCTGCTTTGAGGCGAGCGGTCTGGTAACACCGCAATTCTTCGAGAGATACCGGGCGCTTTGCATGTGACCGTGAATGGTCGGCCCGCTTCTTCAGACCTCTCCAGGATTGGGCCGACTGGTCCGTCCATGCACTGTCAAATTGCGCTGTCAAATTGCGCTGCTGGTGCCAACAGCGCACTGCAGCGCGCAGATTCGTGACGGATGACAAGGACCGGCCGTCCATCTGGGCAAACAACAGCATGAATTTCACGTCTGAGTCGCACGGCAAAAGTTGCAGCCCTGAAGAATTCTCGAAAGAATCTACGGCAATACGCGGGGAGCTGCTATACCGCTTCTTTGTGCTCTCCTCCAAGGCTGCTTGGAGGCAGCGGCGAATTGCTGATATGGCCCTGCTGCGATGCGCTCCCTGTTCAACAGAGGTGCCCTCGCGAATTAAAGACAAGAGGTCGGGGCCCTGACTCAGAAGCTGGCGCGCGCCTGGTGCGTCCACCGGCGGGGCTCGAAGTGGTTCGCGTTGCAGCGCGGGGGCCCCAACAGGCCCGCTTGACGTGCTAGGGCGCCAGCGTGCGTCACCGGGGCGGGTCTCCCCCAGAGGCACCGCGGATGCCTGCGAAGGTGCAGCGCGAGGCCCGTCGGAAGACGCTCTGTCGGCCGCCGGCCCGGGGCGATCGAAATCGTCGCGGTGCAAACAGGCGGGGCCGAGGCGCTGGCGGCGCGCGGGCTCTGGCGATCCTGGGCCGCGCTTCATCTCGAGCCCCACAGGCTTTGGGGTCGCGGCGGCCATTCCCTGTCGACCAACAGGCTGGGGGGGGGGCGGCGACGAAGGTGTTTTTCCCCCCGCCAGGGGGCAAAAAATACACCAATCGTACGTTTTCTTGCACATTTTCTGGCGGTCGGGGGCCGCCTGGGCCCTGCCGTGTGTGGCCCCCGGGGATATTGTGGCCACAGCAATACTTCTGGGCAATGGTGCGCGGATCCGGTAAACCACGCGCAACGAGGAAGTGTTTTTCTTCCCTGCCAGAACGGCAGAAAAAGTGAAGCAATCGTACGTCTTTTACACAGACCTGTGTTGAATGAGGCCGCCAGGGCCGCGGCCCAGGTCCCTGGTGATTTCTCTGCCCCCCAGCAGTAGCTAATGGGCATGGCGCGCGTACCCGGTGACCGCCGACCCGCGCCCGCCGACGATCCCTGGGCGGGATTGCGTAGGAAAGGGGAGGGGCGGCGCGGGAAGGGCGAAAGCGAAGGGCAGGCGAGGGACAGAGAAAGCAGGGAGAGGGGGGGAGCATACGGTGATGCGACGATTGGCGCTTTTTGTTTTCAAGGCGTGCAGCGGGCGCGGCCTCGGACTGGGTCGCGGGGGCCGGCCCAGGGCGCGCGCCTGCTTGAAACGCAAGCACGCGGCGGAAGAAAAGAAAGGACATGCGCCGAGAACGGCCTGGCAGGCGCATGAATTAAAACTCTCGCCCCGGACAATGACGCTGAAGAAAAGAAACGCATGTGCATAACCATGCGTGTACCCAACGGAGCGTCCATTGACCGGGGGCTGGCGCCGACTCGTGCGCGCCAGCGGCTGTAGGGGCAGTCCGCCGCCCAGTGCTTGACGTCCTGGGTCCTGCCTGCCCCCTTTGCACTTTGGGCAAGTGAGCACGCAGCGGTTGCCGAGGGACTTGCACGTAGTGAAAACGCACGAGGAGCCCGAAAGGAAGACGAACCGAATCCCGCGAACCCGCAGAAGCCCCTTTCCCGAGTGCACAGCCCCCTGCGAAAGGACGCCTCCACCCCCGACTGAAGGAGGGGGAAGCAACCGGCAAAGAGGAACAGGGGTGGATCCGCGGGGAATGGCACCGCCGACCGCCTGCTCGGGACCGCGGAGTGCCCGCGGGAGTCTGCACGGAGCCAAGGCTCCTCCTCCGCGAGGCATCGGCCGGGTTCACGATCTAGGAATGGACTAGATCGCGAACTAGTCCATTCTGGATCGTGAATCGGTCCGTTGTTGGATCCTGAATCGGTCCGTTTTCAATCGCGAGTCGGTCCATTCTGAATCGTGAATCGGGCAACACTCGTCTTGTCTGCAGGTCGGTCGGACCAAATGCGCGATCTGGTCCGGAAGGGCTGAATTACGATCCCGAAACGGACTGATTCAGGATTCCAAAACGGACCGATTCACGATCTAACATGGACCGATTCACGATTTAGAACGGACCGATCTCGTCGACGTGTTCGGGTGTTTTTGAAGGGACGTATGTGGATTTTGGAAGTTTTGGGAGGGGGTGGGTGGAGTTGGGAGGACTTGGGAGGATTCGGGTGGATTCAAAAGCATTTCAAAACCCACTCAGAAGCATTTCAAAGGCGTCTCAGAAGCCTTTCAAAAGCTTCCCAGAAGCCTTTCAAAAGCCTCTCCGAAGCCTTTCAAAAGCGTCCCAACAGCCTCTCAGGCGCCTTTCAAAAGCCTCTCAGAAGCCGTTCAAAAGCCTATTCAAAAAAGCCTCTCTGAAGCCTTTCAAAAGCCTCTCAGAAGAAGCCTTTCAAAAGCTTTTCAACAACTGTTCAAAAACCTTTCCAAAGCCCCCTGGGGGCCTCCTAGAGGCCTCCTTGGATATTGACCAGAACGGAGATCTGTGAAACATCTGTGAAAGGGACACCCCCTCATCACTAATACACACTACACCAAACCACAACACGCACAAGCAACGCGCGCGGAGACACCACGAAACACCACGACCACCACGAGAACCCACGATACACCACGGGGCACCACGGGACACCACGATGCACCACAGCACACCACATCACGCACACACACACACCACCACCACCAAAACACGCCACGCCACACACACACACACACACCACACCACACCGCACACACACCACACTACACCACGCACACTCCACACGCACGGAGGCACCACGAGACACCACGAGCACCACGAGACACCACGACGCACCACGAGACACCACGGGACACCGCGGGACACCACCACCACACCGCACACACACACACACACACACACCACCCTAGGAATCCCTGGGAATCGATTCCCAGGGATTCGAAAAGGGATCCGGGGATCACCCCTAGAATCCCTGGGAGTCGATTCCCAGGGATTCCGAAAGTGATCCCAGGATCGCTTTTGAAAATCCCTGGGAAACGATTGATTCAAGATTCCAAAACGGACCGATTCACGATCTAGAACGGACTGGTTCAAGATTCGAAAACGGACCGATTCACTGCTTAAAATAAACTGGTTCAAGAGGCCAAAACAGACCGATTCACGATCTACACCAGACTGATGCACGATCCAGAACGGACCGATCTCAAATTTGAACGCGCGGAAGAACAATGCACAAATAATAAACAACACCACCCCCTCAAAAGAAAAACGTCCCATTCCCAAGAGGCCTATACCCAGCGCCATTTCCGTGCCCGTTCGCGCGACCGCCCGCGTATTTCACAAAAAAACATCGGAACGAGGGAAACCAGAAAAATCAGAATAAAAACAATGATTTCCCCCTCCCAGACGGCCCACTGCAAATACCGTTTCCGTGCCCAATCGCGCGTCCGCGCGCGCATTTCGCGGAGGATGGGTCGGAAACAGGAAAAAAAGTCGGAACCCCAAAAATCAGGAGAAAAAAAAAAAAAAAAAAAAAACTTCCCCCTCCCAAACGGCCCATTGCAATAACTGTTTCCGTGTCCAGTCGCACGTCCGCGCGCGCATTTCGCGGAAGACGGGTCGGAAACAGGAAAAAAAATCGGAACCCGAAAAATCAAAACAAAACAAACAAAAAACATAATTTCCCCCTCCCAGACGGCCCATTGCAAATACCGTTTCCGTGCCCAGTCGCGCGTCCGCGCGCGCATTTCGCGGAGGATGGGTCGGACACAGGAAAAAAAGTCGGAACCCCAAAAATCAGAAAAAGCCCATAATTTCCCCCTCCCAGACGGTCCATTGCAAGTACCGCTCCCGTGGCCGGTTGCGCGTCCGACCGCGCATTTCGCGGAGGACGGGTCGGACACAGGAAAAAAAAGCGGAACCCGAAAAATCAGAAAAAGCCCATAGTTTCCCCCTCCCAGCACCGTACCTGAGTTTTGGACCAGGGGCTTCTTAGATTAGATACCTGTAACGCGGGGTCTCGTGGCATGCTTCTCGAGGGCCTCGTGGAGCGAATACCGAAGTCTCCTGTGTCCGCTCGTGGGCCGTGGGGGGGCCCCTCGGGGCCTCTGTTGGATCCTTTGGGGGCCTCTTGGGTACCTGCTGCGGCCTCGAAGGCCCGCTCGTGGCGGAGGGTTCGAAATTTCAGTTGTAGTTCCACCGCTTAGGCCCCTCTTGGGCCGTCTCGGGCGCATCTTGTTTGTCTTGGGGTTCTCTATTTTTTTTGTCGGCGGCGCAGCGTGTTCGCCAGATACGCGCCAACCGCCAATCAACGCACCAAACGCGCGCTGATCAAGCAAAAAGACAAATTAGAATGCGGCAGGCGAGGCTGGCCAGCCAGAATGAGTACTTGGCCAATGCACACGCCCGAGCCACGCTACGAATGCGCTGGACGATCTTGGACAACGCTATCAAGCACAGGCGCGCGACGGCATCTGAGGAGCTTCTGGGGTGTTCCGCATGCTTCGTCAACTGGCTGTTGGAGGCACCTCTTGGGTGCTTCTTGGGGGGGCGTCTGAGGGTCCCTTGGGGGCATCGGTTCTGCAATCTGAAGCCGTCATTGGCCGTCTTGGCTGCGTGGAGGCCCGACTTGAGGCCACCTGCGGCCAGATTGAGGCAATCCGGAAGCCTCCCGGGGGCCTCCTGGAAGCAGTTTTGACGCATCGAGGGCACTCTTGGGCTATTTTAAAACCTCTTGGACGTCTCCTAGAAGCCTTTTGGGCCCTCGGGAAGCGTTTGGGGTCCTCTTGCGGCCTCCTGTGGGCCTTTTGGGGGGAACGCTCTGCTGTTGGGTCGCGTTCCCCTTCTTGGGCCTCTCTTGGGGCTCTTGGGGCCCTCTCGGGCCGTCTTGGGCGCCTCAAGCACCGTCTTGGGGCCCTCGCGGGCCGTCTTGGGGCCCTCTTGGAGGCCTCTTCCTCTATATTGGAGCGGTATTGGAAGCCTCTTGGGCCGTCTTGGAGCATCGGGATGCCAAAAGGCCGAAAACATTCAAACCCGTCAAAACCCAATCGTAAAACAATGAGTTGTGCCTCTTGGGGCCACCTTGGGAGATCTCTTGGAACCTCGTCGGCCCTCTTGGGAGCTTCTTCTTGGATCCGATTGGGGGCCTCTTGGGACTTCCCGAGAACCTCTCGGGGTAGAAAGCTCGGATTCTCAGTTCGTGTTTCCCTTCTTGGGCCTCTCTTGGGGCCGTCTTGGGGCCCTCTCGGGCCTTCTTGGGCGCCTGAGGCACCGCCTTGGGGCCCTCGTGGGCCGCCCAGGGCCCTCTTGGAAGCCTCTTCGGCTATCTTGGAGCTGTCTTGGAGGCCTCTTCCTCCTCGTCCCCCTCCTCCTCCTCCTCCTCCCCTCCTCCTCCTCCTCCTCCTCCCACTCCAGCTCTCTCTCCTCCTGATATTCCCCCTCCTCCTGCAGCGTGTTCCGGAAGGCTCCCGCCGGAACATGCTGTGCACAAGTGCTGTCACTGCTCCCGCCACAGTGCCCTGGGTGGTGGGTCAGAGGCCTCATAGGTGTTGGTTTGGATCTCGTGGTTGGCCTGTCGGGGACGTCGTGAAGGCAGTTTCGCAGCTTCTCGGTAGCCGTTTTGGGACCGTTGTGGGGCCTCCTCGGGGCTGTTTTGTGGCCTCTTTAGGCCTCGTTTGGGCCTCCTGGGTGCCTCTTGGGGGCCTCCTGGGGCCTCTTGGGGGCTCCTTGGGGCCTCCTGGAGCACTCTTCAAGCGGGAGGGTCGAATCTTGGAGTCGTGGTCCCCCTCTTGGGCGCATCTTGGGGCCATCTTGGGGCTCTGTTGGGCTGTCTTGGGCGACTCTGGGGCCGTCTTGGGGCCCTCTTGGGCCGTCTTGGGGCGCTCTTGTGGGCCTATTGAGCCGTCTTGGAACGTCGGACAGCCGAAAAGGCTGGAAGGCCAAAATCGTTCGAAAACCTTCGTGACATTGACGATTTCGGCCTCTTGAAGCGCTCTGGAGATGCGTCTTGAAGCGTCGTGGAGTGCCTTGGGGGGCCTCTAGGGCCGTCTTGGGCCTATCTTGGGCGTCCTGGAACGGTCTTTCGGCGACTCGGGGCCCGCGGCCGGCATCGGCCGGATTCACGATCTAGGAATGGACTAGATCGCGATCTAGTCCATTCTGGATCGTGAATCGGTCCGTTGTTGGATCCTGAATCGGTCCGTTTTAAATCGCGAGTCGGTCCATTCTGAATCGTGAATCGGGCAAAACTCGTCTTGTCTGCAGGTCGGTCGGACCAAATCGCGATCTGGTCCGCAAGGGCTGATTCACGATCCCAAAACGGACTGATTCAGGATTCCGAAACGGACCGACTCACGATCTAACATGGACCGATTCACGATTTAGAACGGACCGATCTCGTCGACGTGTTCGGGTGTATTTCAAGGGACGTATGTGGATTTTGGAAGTTTTGGGAGGGGTTGGGTGGATTTGGGAGGACTTGGGAGGATTCGGGTGGATTCAAAAGCATTTCAAAACCCACTCAGAAGCATTTCAAAAGCGTCTCAGAAGACTTTCAAAAGCTTCCCAGAAGCCTTTCAAAAGCCTCTCCGAAGCCTTTCAAAAGCGTCTCAACAGCCTCTCAGGCGCCTTTCAAAAGCCTCTCAGAAGCCGTTCAAAAGCCTATTCAAAAAAGGCTCTCTGAAGCCTTTCAAAAGCCTCTCAGAAGAAGCCTTTCAAAAGCTTTTCAACAACTGTTCAAAAACCT